AGAATCGTTATTCAGTTTTATGAGTTATAATAAAAATGCATACCACCATGTTTTCCTTAATTGTAGGAACAATTGCTATATCTTTATCTTTAATGCAACCACAGTAGAATTGAAATACTTGTCTGCTTCTCCTAAGAGAATCGTTATTCAGTTTTACGTGCTATAATAAAAATGCATACCACCGTGTTTTCCTTAATTGTAGGAACAATTGCTATATCTTTATCTTTAATGCAACCACAGTCGAATTGAAATACTTGTCTGCTTCTACTTAGAGAATCGTTATTCAGTCTTACGTGCTATAATAAAAATGCATACCACCTTCTATTTAACAAAATTGTAGCATTCAAATATCGATCCTCCTGTACCATTTAACTGCAGAAAAAATGAAATCGATATCTTCATTTGTTTGTAAGAAAGGAGCTTGTAAGACATCCTGTATATTTCCATTTGTATAATTATTTTAACAAAGTGTTAGTTCATTTTTTTCTATTGCTCACGCATCCACTGAGCGAGTGCCTTGATTATTTTGAGCAATGCGCTCGCGTTAAGACGGAATCGGTTGACAATTATAGAATGGTTGTCGAGGAAAAATTCTGCACGTACCTTTATTGGTCGCTCGCGATCGGGACTTTTGTAGCGAAGCCAGAGGAGACCAGACACGGAGAGCGTGGTGAATAGTGCCTCAACGAAGCTGACATAATTGATTAGCACGTAGACATCCTCTATGATCAGAAGTGCCAGGGTGATAATGCACTAGAAACGGAAATTATAGTTTAACGCTTCGGCTCGAGTTCGAGTACAAGAGAGAGAAGAAAAATGAAACCTGGAAATTTGTCGTTTTGTAATTGCGTCGTCTTCGAATTTTTTTGAATTTTTACGGTGTAATTCCGCCGTTGAAAGAGAAAGAAGAAGCACAATTTAGGAAACCACAGCTAAAGCGATCACTTCGGTTGAGAAAGAACGAGATATCGAAAACAGATTTCTTAAATTTTTGGTTTAATAGAAAACGAAGACTGAAAAAGTACTTCCTTTTACACGCGGTCAAGCAATGTCGATAAAAGCTTTTATTTCAATTATAAAGTAAACGAATAACGGTTGAATAAATTACTGTTGCGTAAATTGTACGATGAATATTAATACAACAGAAATTTCTGAACAATGCCATTCATTGGGGTAATTTAGAATTTGTATAACCGAGTTACTCTTGATTCAAAAGGCCATTATCGATCATCAAAGGGACCGTTGACGGTATGAAAGATCCAATTTATTGCTCTCAATTAGCAAACGCAAATCCAGATGATGGTTAATACAGCGCGTTATGCACCTATAGAATGATTAGGTTTGTTTTTCATTGTCAATTTATAATATCCTCCTTGTGCTTCTGCTTTTCTAATTGTGCGAACAAAAAATATAGTCGATACGATAGTCAACTAAAAAAATCATTACATTGTAAAACTTGGTAACAATAAAATAGGAAAATATACAATGGACGAAGAAAGTATTCGTACAACGACCAAATTCTAAAAAAACTGTGTAAAATTGTGATTTATTAACTTATTTTTGATAAACAATGACATTCTACATATTCACCGAAATCTCTAGAATAGATAGATTACAAGAAAAAATAGCTATTTATGTAAGTTGCGAAATTAACAAGAAAAAAACAATTAATCGATAAAAATGTTGAAGCAATCAGTATTCGCACAACTGTTTAAAAACACTTTCCTGGAAATTTGATGTTTTCTTTTTTAATTTCACAAATTATATTAACTAGTAAATGTTGTTTGGACTATACCTATCTTAGACATTTCCGAGAATATATAAAATATCATTGATTATAAAAAAAGAAGTTAAGAAACTACAATTTCTGCAACTACAATACTACAAAATAGTTTTTTGTTAATTTCAGAAATTAAATTAACTACAATATAGCTTTTTTTGTTTACTTCACAAATTATATTAACTAGTAAACGTTGTTTGGACTATACCTATCTTAGAGACTTCCGAGAATATGTAAAATATCATTGATTATAAAAAAAGAAGTTAAGAAACTACAATTTCTACAACTACAATACTACAATATAGTTTTTTGTTAATTTCACACATTATATTAACTAGTAAACGTTGTTTGGACTATACCTATCTTAGAGACTTCCGAGAATATGTAAAATATCATTGATTATAAAAAAAGAAGTTAAAAAACTACAATTTCACACAAGTTTCTTGGGAAATTGATCAGTGTACGAATACATTCTACACCCACTGTAGACACATTTCTTCGTTTCATTCGTTCCATTAATCTTCCAAGAATTAATTCTTTAATTTTAGCCTTCGAGAAATTACATTTATTACGTGTGTTCGTTGTCCTAATGTCCTACGTAATTCTTATTGTTTTCTATGCGAATAAATGTTCATCAAATTCATCATTTATTTAATGTAAAATAAATCTCGAAAAAGAAGATATCAGTTTATATCATTGAACAATCCCGATATCACAAAATTACTATTGATTCCTCGTACGTTTATACAAACATTGCTCGTGATAAATGCATTATCGTCGTTGGCCTAATCCATACATGTCAATCAATCATAGTATTTTTTATCTTTTATCTGGTACACGTCTAACTAAAACACGAAAAAAGGTTTAAGTTTGTCAAATATGAGAAAAGCTTGTTGGTAAACTGTTTGATTAGTTCAGCAACTGATGATAAATTTTTTAGAAAAAGAACCGTGAACATTGAAAGTTAACAAAACCTTGGTTATTGAAAGTAGGTAGTGGTCGTGATAACATTACTTTGATTATTGCGGAAACCTCGATTATTGCAAGAGATCGAGACTCGACTTATTGCAGTAATCGGGCCTCTATCAAGCAGAAGAGACTTACAAGGAAGATGAGCGATGGCATCGGTGTTAAGTTTCGTACATTGATGAGCGAAATCGCGGAAGGTAAGTGTCCATTACGGGCACCCACGAAGAACAATCGCGACGATGCAAAGATCGCTCCGTTCAGAGCGCCAAACGTTGAACAAGCCACAAAGAATGGCATTATCCAAGACATCACGCCCAATAGTTTGTCGCCAAAGGTCTGGAAAAAAAAAATAAATAACAACAGTTATGAATGGAAGATATGAATAAAAAAAAACGCGATATTTCAAAGATTTCTGCGTGAAACGTATTGAAAAAATGACAAAATGTACTTCACAAAACACCTAAAGTGTTCTCAAAGTTAAAAAAAATGAAGTAAACTTTTGCTGTATAAAAAAGAATCACGAAAGACGCTTAAATTTTGTCTCCTAATGTGGTTTCGTTCCTTAAGGAGGCATTTCGCTGTGAACGCACAAAAAGAAGCATATTTTCAATCATTTTTTTCTCAGAAACTATTGCATAAAATTGAATGAATGTTTTTTCCCCTTAAAGGTATGATTAAGGAAAGTAAAGAAACAAAAATATCTTTTTTTTTTTTTTGGTAAAAAATATTTCATTTATTTACAAAATAAAATGATTTTTTGGAAAAAAAAATTTAATCGACTTCGAAAAAGGTACAGTGAAAAGCATGAAATAATTTCTAGTTAATTTATACGAATACGCACTGGCTCTAGATATAATTGCTTAAAAGTATGGGAAAATGCAGTGGAAAGTACGAAATAATTTCTATTTAAACTGCATTGTTATTCACCATCGTTTGATGAATTTGGTTAAATTGTTAAATACATCATATTAAATGCAATGCACCTTTTTTTATTTACTTTCCTTAATCGTACCATTATGGGGAAAGAACATTCATTCAATTTTATGCAATAGTTCCTGAGGAAAAAGTTATTGGAAATATGCTTTTTTTTGTGCGTTCACAGTGAAATGCCCCCTTAAATTATTTCGTATACTTTATTTGATTTGTTTCTATTGACTGTTGTTTCAATTAACCCCAGTCTTCCTTGCTCAATAATTAATTACAAAGATAAAACTGTATCGCCTTGTATAAGATTAACATATTGTCATTTATGTAAACAAAACTGACATTCGATCATGTAGAATTGCTTAGAGGTCATTTCCTTCGTTAACGTTCTGTTTTTTTAATGAATAATTTTCTGCTAAGCTCGCCAACATGTTTTTTGACTTCTCTGAAAGTTCTACTTGTCAAAACAGTGTCAGATTTTAGATACACGTGTATAGGCTATCCATTTATCATCGAGATATCTCCAAGCGGAAATTATGTCTCTTCATTGGTATCGTTTTGAGAGATACCACTTCGAAGATAATAATGGAATGTAATTTATGCAATAATATTGATAAAAGTTTTTTTTTTTTATTATATATAACAATGCTTCCCAACGAGTGTTCCAATGAATGCTCGAGAGGATAGGCATACTAAAAATAAATTTATCGTAAATTAATGATAAGATTGCATTAACAAAAGTGTTTGCATCACTTGGAGATTCTGCAGAGGATATTCTTATGCTGTTTTCTACTACCTACTTTTACGAGCAAAAGCTATTTATATCAGTGGTAACTAGAGAATAACGTGAAACAACAATCTTTAAAAACCTCAGATAATGAATTTGATTAAATTAAAATCTTATTAGAACTACATTTGCGTTGAGTATTTAAAATAATTTTAAAGAATAAATGGCTTATTTTATTTGTACAGATTTGTTTGTTATTTTGATCTAATACAAGTTATTGTAAAATTTTTTAAAGCAATTCTTCTTGTAAAAATAAGCTTCTAAATACGCCGTGAATATTAATTTCATACTGACAATTTCAAATTCATCGTGACCAGACTGACAGCCACGTACTTCTATAAAAGTACGATTAGTCAATGATAGATAACAATTGTATGAATAATGTACGATAATAAATAATTCTGGGAATAAAAAACTTACGACAGCGACAGCATCCGACGCAAGAATTTCATCTTGCGTTAGCACGACGAAGTAGGCAACATTCGCTAAGACATAAATTACCGTCACCAGTGGTAACGATATACAGATTGCCTTTGGAAGATTCCTGCGAATGTAATAATTAAACGTTGTACATTTCATACGTTATTTACACCCACCTTTACTATCACTGCTAACATTACCAGAGGAAAATATATAAATCAAGAATAATTTTTCTATCATATTAACACGTTCACTGGCAGACTAATACTCTTGAAAATTTCTACTTCGATTTAATTTTGTTTACAGACTTTCGGAAGCTGCGTAATGAAACATTTATTTTGTTATTTAGTTTTGTAACTTCATCAAAATTCAAGTATTTCGGTTAAATTCATTTTCGATGACACTTAACTTTCAGAATTAATAGTTATCGTTTTTCAGTGAAAAGCACTGTCACCCATATATGGGTGACGTGGCGATGAACGTGTTAAAAGAGACGGTATAAAATATTACTTAAAAAAATGTTTCTAACGCCTGCGTACAATAATTGTTAAATTAGCTCGATTATTAATAATATCTCCTTTACTATCGCATATTCAAATAATTTAAATTTAATCAAAATTAACTTTCCTCTAATACTTCTATTATCGGGTGCATTATTTATAATAAAAGCTACCAAAACGATATTTACATCATATCAAAGAGAAAATGGTATAAAATTTCGTAACAAAAATGTTTACTGTAACCAATATTACCATTATTATAAACTAATCATTAATATTGTAACGCACACCATGGGGAAAATGGTTCGACGTGGTTAGTAAATTCTTGGAAATTCATTGATGATTAATGTCGTACGATATTTGCGTGGATTACCGGATGTTTTATTCACAATTTAAATATAGCTCTTTAACTGCATAAAGATCCTTCACCGATGCACCACTTTTGTACCGATTTAAATATAGCTTCCTGAACTCTGCATACTTCTTTGTTTCAATAACGCAAAGTTCAACTTGTAAACATATTTTTTAGTAGACAAAGAACGAGCCAAGGTGAAAGAGAGAATATAAATGGTACAAAGGAATGGCATAGTCAGTTTGTAAATCCTCTGAAATACTTTTGTATACTGTGGTAGTCACCTGCTATTTATCTCGAGACATCATGCATAATATCAGATTTTATTTGTTTATTTAATCTAAGAACGATTCTAATAGATGAA